GGAAATCCTGAAATTCTGATTGCAATATACTCTGAATATTTTAAGCTGTTTGGGTGTTTGTAAAGTAAATGCAGGGGAACTCTTTTTTCTGATTGGTTAGATGCATGCAGAGTAAAGTAAAATCAGTGCATTTTAAATACTTGTGAGCTGTTTGATTGTGCTTTACTGGAATGCAGAGTAATAAACTTATCAAGCTAACCATAATAAAAAATAACATCTTCCAATTCATTTTAAAAAATGAAGATTTACATTCATACCACTCAAATAAACAAAAATATCATTCCAAAGTTGTCATAATTGAAAGGGGCATTTACATACATACCACATATGCAAGCTTGCTTGAAGGCAAAATAGTTACGATTTATTAAAATCAAAGAAACAAAAACATCACCAATTAACTCAAAAAAGTGATAAAAGCTGAAAAATTTTGGCTTTGTCAATCAGACTTGGTAGTTCCTTCTCGCTTGTGCCAATTACTTGGGAAATATTGAAATCATCGAATTGGATAAGGAAGATAAAGAAGCTGAAGAAAGGTAAGAAATGTTAAACGCAGATAAAGAAACATTCCAAAGTTATCCTGATTGTAGCCAAATAGTCAAACTGGATGAAAGATGATTATTCTTCACCTTTGCCAAATTTAATCAAGGTAACAAAATCGATTTGTGAATTTGTCTTCTTGATTGTGAATTAAGTGAGAAAAAATATAAAAGAAATTATGACAGTTCCTGAAATTTCGGGCTTGAGCTAAACATGTTAGAATCTTAGCTTTAAAATATGTACGAGAATAAAAGGATGAAGACTACAAGAATAACACCAAGTGGCCCTTTTAGATATCGACTGAGATGCATACCTTGGTAAGTGTAGTTATTGAGGAGCCGAAGAACCTCTTGGAAGCTTGTAGCATCTGTCGCAGAGAAGCACCCTGAGCTTGTTGTGGTTGAGGAACAAGCGCGGTCTGCAACATCACTGCTCTCGAATTTGTCGTTGCCCTCTATCCGCCTTCTCATCTATACATAAGCTAGCCAAACTCACCAATCAACTCCTCTAGCTATTTATACCTATTCGCAGAGGCCAATTCATGACCGAGCCATACGATTGCGAGCGAGACAGTGATGCGCCTTGCCTTCGTTGGAAGTGGAAAGAGAGACCGAGAATCAATCGTACGCTCCAATTTCTACTCCTGGCTAGACTCGCCCTCCTCTAACCATCTTCGACATCGAATCGCATTTGGGAAAAGGAAGCGAGAGATGAAAAGCTTCTACGAAAATAGCATCGAGCACCAACAAAGTACTTGATTTTCACTCGATTTAGGCAACCTTCATTTACCTCGAAAAATAGCTATTGTGTAAAATCATAATACCCTATAAATTTATTTCTTGTTTTATTTACAAGAAACCAAACATAAAAAATTTAAAATTTAATGTACTTAATTTACAGTACACCGCTTTTGCATCAAACCAAACAACCCCTAAGTGGTGTAGTTGGTTTGTATATTTGCTTCTTTCTTTGTCAATATTAATCTCTTTTGATACAAGTGACGGGTTTTATTTAATGTTACTAGATGATTAGATGTTGCATGACATAATTTTTCATCTTGACTCCTCACGTCTAACTTTAGAAAAGATTTCTCAAATTGAGGGTGTAGAGGTTTCCTACCAAGGATTCGGTCTCAAACTTTGTCTAAACTCTGATTAAGGTCAACTAAGAACATATAGACCCGATCATTTTCCTCTCTTCTTGTGATGAGGATGATCTTTCAAATTTTCTCAAATATCATCATTTCGTTGATCAAGCTACTGTCATAATGTTCAAATCATTGTAATATATATATAACATCATTGTCAGTTTGTTTGGACTTTCAAAGTTTAGTTTTCAACTAAAAAATTTGCAAATAATTCTACAATTTTGAATAGAGATCTCGAATGGACTCCCAGATATCTCGATTAGTTGGAAGGAATGGATGAAGCTTTACTATGGTAGATTCCATGGAGTTGATGAGTCATGCCATCTCCAAAAATTTTTGGAATGTCATTTTTCATATTTCGAATCACTAGCAGTAGGTTTTAAAATTTCTTCAATTAATTACCCAATTTTGTCTCTCCCGTTAATCATCAATATTATAAATTTAGCCAACTTGAGTTAGTTTTGTCCATTAAGTTTTATAACTGTGAGGTAAGGCGATAAATTTTGAGAAAAATATTCAGCCTATACACTCATGGGAGTTGTCGCGTGAGGTCAAGTGGTTCCAAGATTATTGAAACCAATCGGTGTGGTAGACTTTCTTTGAACTCCTATCATCATTGTTGGTTTGTACAACATTCTTAGAATCAGAGAAGGGCAATACACGTGCAGTGGCTACCTCGAGTGAAAAGAGAAAAACGCCTAGTTTGAATACAAGCTCGGTTTGCCTAGTTTCGATGCCACATGAAGACAAGAAACTTCGTGTGAAGTTGGCTCTTTGAATATCACGATCCAATTGTTGCTTCTTAACTGGCTCTAATCTCGACTGTATCGTGCGGGTCTCTGAATGTTGAGATCCAATTGTTGTCTTCCCATCGGGCTTTGATTGCGACTATATTGTGATGGGTTTATGAACATTGCAATCCAGGCGTTGCCTTCCCAACTGGCTCTGATCGTGACTATGAGGCGAGCGATTGATCATGAAGACAATGGTTGGGCTAACCTAGGAGGTCCAGGACGTACATTATAGTCCCAAACAATCTCGACGGACCAGGTCACTGTTTTGAAGGCTAAGATGATCTCTGATACCATGTAGTTTTTGGAGGGAAAAATAATAATTCCTCCGAAATTTTTTAGAAATGATCACGAGATAAGTAGAGGGTTGATTCCCACATTAGAAAAGTAATAAGATCAGCCATTGTTCTCCACGTTAAAAGAAGAAGGCAAGAATTGTGATATAGCAATAATTCTAACTTCTAGAAATAATAAATACTATCAATAGAATATACAAAAAATAAAAATTTTCACAAAATCCAACAGTTATGCAAACCCTTTATGGCTTCGCTAGTGACTGAACAAGAATAAGTGGTTTTTTAAATCTTTCCTTCATTGTTGCCTAGTAAATTATCATTCATAGAGCAGCACAAGTTGGTGATTGAAACTCTCTTTTCAAAGTAGAGTATAGTTTCATTACAACAGAGTTGCACTTTTGTGAGCAATTTCCAATCAAAATTTCTACACATTATGCTAATTAAAACTATCTTTTCTACAAAATTTAATTTGTAAGTGAATGTTAGATGTTCTCATCTAATTAATCAAAGATTTAATAATAACCAGATACAAATATATTATTGTTATTTCTTGAAACAATGTCTGACAAACTCTCTGTCTTCGGTTCAAATCCGAAGAAAAGTAATTATATTATTTTAATTTAATGGTATTAAGTTGCTGTAGGAATTAATAAAGTATGATGATTACCTAATTTACTTTTACCGGACCATTTTCATATAATTAATTGACATCTGTTGTGACCACTGGAAGCAGAATGGCATACCGGCAGTGAATGTGTTAAGTGTGTTAACAAGAAGCCTATTTACGAATATTTATGAATCTCTAGGCTTAATCATGGATACCTTGTCCTTAAAGTTGCCAGATTTTAATACAGAGTATGCTATATATAGAAACAATAACGAACACAAACGTTAAGTCTTCTGTTCAATCTTGAAGAAAATATTATTATCTGATTTTAATTTCATGGCTGTTTATTAGCTTTAAGGATACATTGGACTTTTTCTAATTTTGAATTACAAATTTTTTTCTTATAAGCTCAGTTTCCCGCAGCATCGATTTTACTTTCCTTTTCAAGTGGTCACCTATCGATTTGTTTTCAAGTCTACATGCTTGAAAGCTATTATTTTATGATTATAAGCTATTCATCTTACGCTTTTTATTTTTATTCATTTTTTCATATGCACAACACTAGAATTCATGTATTGGTTTCTCATACCTTTGAAAGTTTCTTAAAGCTTCTCGTATGGTTGATAATATTGTCCACCTTCATAAGCGTTTATGATGCCTCGCTAGTGAACACGTGCAGTCTTACACACATGCATACATTCCAGTGTATGTATTTACCGGTGATATATAAGCTTGTTAAATTTTGTCTTTCTTTAAATTAATTTTCTTCTACTTTTTCTACAAGGTATGCAAAATATGGGTTCCCTTCACTCTTTTCCATAGTTTTTGTATGAGCTCCTGGGGTTTTCTAGTCTTTCTTTTTGTCCCACTTGATCTTTTAGCAATAATCACTGGTATTATGTATTTTGGATAATTCAGGAGAATCACTTTATTGTCTATAGAGAAAATAATATTGATATGATAATCTAATGAAAGTCATGTAGTATGGGAAGCTAGGAATTATAATTTGGTGCCAAATTGGTTTCTGGATCAGTAAGCATTTCTGTTCTGAGAAGTGGGACTTATTAATGTAAGGTCCCATCTACAATGCATTCATTGCAACATTTGCTTTTGAAAGTCTACGATTTTTGTTCTGGAAATTCTTTGCAATATTTGCAAGTTTTATTAAGATTTATGCGTTATGATTCTTTCTTTAATACTATGTTGCCAATGTGGCATTTAGAAAACCTGAAGGACATGCACAGAATTTGAAAATAAACTGATGCAGCAACAATATGGGATGAAGAATTATCCAAAGGATTGGCAATAAATCAAAATTCTGCAACTGTTTCATAGTACAACTGTGATAATTTATGTTTTTACATATCTAACCCCTAAACATTCATAGTACACTTTGGTGTGATAAATCCATGTGCAAAAAGGTATATTTCACTTTTAAAGAATTGGTAATAATGATGTTTTAGATGTAATATGAAAGATTTTATTGTCATGCATGTAAACATTAAAATTTGGGTGCTAGATATGCAAGTACATAAGACTTGTGTGATATGTATGCAAATCAAATAATACCAATAATATGTGTCTTTTTGCTGAATCTTGTTTTCTATGGGCAAATGTGTTAGGGAAATTGAAGGACTTCCCCATTATCAGACTACCTTTTGGCCTCCTTCCACCTTGTCTCTGCTACTGAGAACAGAAGCTGAAGCTGATACACACAACTTTCTGAGCTGGTTTGATCAAATGCTAACAACCCAACATTCTCCATAATAGGATGAAGGAGCAAACTTCTATATCTTTTTTTTTTATTTTATTTTTTTCAGTATATAGTTTATATATAGTATAAAATAGAATTACTGAACTGGTTCTTACTATTTTTTCAGATACTGTTGTGGATGGGTCCAATGCTTTTTGATATTCTTGTAGAGGAAGTGTAGTGTTGGGTAGAGAGACTTAGTTGGACAAAGGCTGATGAAAACTGTAATGGAACTCTTTATTTCATGTTTTGCTGTGCATCCATTCTTCATTCAATTTTATTGTTCCATATTTGTGTTGGGATATGATGAAGATAAATTTAGTATAAAAAAGAAATGGTTTTAGAAATTGGGCCGGACTTGTTGGTCCAATTGGTTCGACTGCAAATCGGTTATTCTGGCAGTGTGATCCGGGTCTAAAATGGCTTGGGTTGAATTGTTGAACTGGTTTGATTTTGGATGAGCTAGCTTGTAATAAATTTTTTCTTTTTTTTTTTTTTTTTTTTTTTTTTTTGCCTTTTAATTTTGATGAGACGTTAAAAATTGGATTTGGAATAAAAAATAATTATGTTATGTCTTAACATTTTGATTTAAAAGTTTTATATAAAATGTTAAGAGTGAAATATATTGACTTAAAATATTATATATTAAAATGAAATTTATTTTGTGTTATAAATTCATGATTTTAATTTTTTATAATGTCATGTGATTAAATTTTTGGCTACTTTTAAGCATGATTTTTAAAAGCTTGTGACCTATTTGGTTCATGTTAAAAATTACTTCTAAGAAATTGGTGATAATTGATTGATTTAAATATTATTTAATTTTAACATTTTGATTTACATGGTGACATGAAAATGATTTAAATTAAAAAGAAAATAAAATATAAGTAAAATTTTAATTTATAATAGTGGTTAGAATGCTTAAAACTAAAATATTTTTAATTAAAATATTATAAATGAAATTGAGAAGTTCAATATTATTAAATTATATGAAAATTATTTTAATATTTATTATGTCATCTAATTCAATGCCGATTGCTTGATTGATTTTTTATTTTTGCTATGCTATATTGATTTTCTTAATTTTTAATTTTAAGTTATTATTATTATTATTATTATTATTATTATTATTATTATTATTATTTTGTTTAACATAAGGAAGACATTTGTGATAGCACATATAAAACAAAATAAATGAAAAAAAAATCTATATTTTTTATGAGTTAATTTTATTTCATTCAACCATTTACTATACATAAATACAATGCCAAAATATGAGTAATCAAATTAGGAACAAGAGCCAAATACAAGAAATGAATAGCCCATATATACTCATAAAATTTTATAAGCAAATATAGAATGGTAATAATAATTTATATATTTAATTATTTTTTTATTTTATGCTGATTGAAATTATCCTTAATTGTTTCTAAATTTCCATTCAATATGAGAGGATGATATGTTTCTTTCATATTAAATAAGCTCTCAATTAATGCATGAAGTCTCTCTCTTAATTGTCTCTAATGCCCTCTCCCCAACTCTTTACGATAGGTTTGCATGACCAAATCATATATACTTCATGTTCCTTTTTTTAGATAATTACATAAAGAGCACTCCAAACATTGCTATTTACAAATCAAGCACAAATTTGATTTTTTGAACTACTAAATCATTGCATTTTAGTTTTTCCCCCATCAAACCATTAAGAATTTGAAAAAAAAAAGAGGAAGGGGATGCTTGATTTGTAAATAATAATGTTTCGGATGCTCTGTGCATGAATAGCACTCGAAACTTTTTTATTTACAAAATTGGCATTCGACACATTTTATAAATTGTTGAATTGGTGCATTTATGTGCGATTAAACTATTGTGAGTTTGATAACAATGAATGATTTGGGTTGCAGCTTTATTGTTGATTTACATATTTGAATGATAATTTGAAAAGCAAATGAAATGTATGCTAGTTTCGAAAATGGTAAAGTTTCAAGTGCTATGTATGCAATTATTTTTTTTCTTGATTCGTTCTTATACGACATATTCAAATATACAATATCTTGAATGCAGGAGTGGAATCATCCTCTTTTTAAAGGTAAACAAACTGTTTTCTTATATCCAACATAGGAGGAGCTAAGATAGCGAAAGATAAAGTGATATTTCAGGAGATGCAAAATTAATATTTCAGAAGGAACAAAAAACCAAATTATCTTATCATATAAGTAAAAAATTCAAATTTGAGAGAGATGAGAGAGTGCAATTGGTCTCACTGGACCCTTCATAATTTGTGTCTGCTTGAATGTCTTCTCTTCTAAAATGAAGTCTTACTAAAAAAAAAAAAAAACAGCAACAAATAATAAGATTTTTTATTAATTTTTTTCAGTCTAAATAAATCAATTTTTTTTGGGAAAAAAAAAGAGTAATTTGTAAGGAATTAATAATGGAATTAATGGACTCCAGCATGAATTCCCGTTTCTAACCTTATTAGGCCCTATAAATACCCATCCGCCCACCGTCTCTCAGCTTTCTCCTCTCCTGGTTTTATTCTTAAGAGAGAGTAAGAGTAGGGCACCGCAACCGTCTCATCTTCGAAGAGCTTCTCAGGCAACTTGCACGAAGGATCAACCGAAAAATTCGGCAGAAAAGAAGTCATGTATGAACAGTTAAAGATCTGGAATTGTTAGTGAGATAAAAGAGGAGGCGGATATCTCGATTGGAGTTGGATTCCCTCTTGCCCTAATCCCGAGCACTGCTGTTCTGTCGAACTGTTTTTTGGTCGACACCATTTCTGGAATTGGAAGCTTTAGATCTGTGTTTTAACGGACCGTGGAGATACGGGGAGTCGGCTAACGTTTTCGACGTTGTGGCGGATTGTTTTGATTAGGGTTTCATATCTTGGTTTTGGCCCTTTGGGAGGTGGATCGAGGGGTTTCTGGCTGATCGGCTTGGGATCCGCTGTCCGGGTTGGAGATACTGTGTTTTTCTAGGATTGGGGCTTGGTTTTTTGCTTGATGGTAGGGATTTGAGCGGAGACATCGAGTAGGACGGCGTACTAGATTTTACGGAAGTTGAGCTTTGATTGGCAAGCTGATGCTGTTGATTTTTATTATGTTGGTGCTGTTATTGTTTCGGTTGGTTTGAGGAGAGTTTTGAGTGCAGCCAGATGGTGGATGTTGTATGGAATGATACCTCACCGTGCAAAGGGGATTTCTTTAACGATTGAGTTACAGTTGTTGGTTTTTGGCCGCTTGATTGTCCTCTTTTTCATTTATTTGCCTGGTTTTGGCGTGGGGAGGAGGTTTTGGCTTGAGCTTTGATTCCCTGGGACGAAATAAGAATGTTTTGAAGCTGGAAATGAACGAGAGGACATGGTGGATGGACAAGAACAAGGCTGCTGGTCCGTTTTTGTATTGGGACAGCTGTGCTGTATACTAGTAGGTGTAGATCGAGGGTCACCGTGCGATGTCTCGTTGCTTTCCATTTCCGCCACCAGGATATGAGAAGAAACCTGAAGCCGAGAACCTAGATTTGTTAACGAAGGTTCCTCCTCTTACATTAATCCATTACATTTTTCAGCTGGCTTTATGCGCTCTGTGACCCTGGCTGCTAGTTTTGATCTTGAATTACAAGCTCTGGCTTTAGTTTTTTGATTCTTAGAAGATTTGGTGAATATTAGCTAATGAAGGAGATAACACACACTAATTTCAATATTTAATATTGGACATATTGAATAAGCATGAGGAATATTCTGCAAATAGAACAGCTTTATGGAGTTGTCTAGGAAATTCTAGCTAATATGCTGTAACGATTGTACAACTGAGTACATACACTATTTTCTACTGCGAGCTACTGGTTGCTGGATAGACATCTGAAAGGAGTACAACCTTTTGCTTTTTGTAAGGACTTAACCGGTTTAGCATAACCATTTCACTGGAGTGGCTGCTTTAATTTCTGAGACTCTTTCGTTATGCAATTAAATTATATTAGTTGTCTGGATTAGAATGTGCAATATCAATTTGGATTGTTGTGATAGTTATTTAGTAATGTTTCTGCTCAGCTGCAGTTGATGCATTACTTGCTAAAGAAGAATTTCATGATAATAATGGATCTTTCACTTGATGATAAAATACTGATTTATAGTACTTTTTGTTTATCTTTAGGCTATTGGTTTCTATAGTCCAGATGCAGAAGCTCGAAAAATTGTAAAAATTACTGCTACTTATGTAGTCTATATTTGTAATTGGCTTTAGGATTGTGTATTTATTAAGCCAAAGACAATTTATTTTCTATGAAGCCTGGCATCAGATATTAGTTTTCACACAATTTTTTGACTCAGACATGAGCAAGCCCATGCTTCCATGTTTCCGTTTGTGGAACACCAACCTAATAGCAACTTATGATTAGTCCACTCTATGTTTTCCCTCTCATGTATTAAAGTGCTATGGCACTTCTAAATCAATATTTGCAATCTCCTAATTGTTTTTTTTAATGTTTTCATCTTGCTTTATATTTTGTTATCTTTTTTTCTTTAATCACTCAACATGGGTGAGTAGAACACCCCCCACTTTGCCCCTTACGTTTATTATCATGTTCTAGGATCTGAATTCTCTCCAATTGATTTCATAATTGTACCATTCAGTTACCCTGTCAAAATATACATTTTCGTTTGAATGGGTGGGGTTGAATATACCAATATGATGTTTTTTTGTAAATTTTTGGTGGACTCAATCCTGGCCATAAAAAGTGAACTCTATATTTAGAATTAGGGTAATTGCGCTAGTGCACTTACAGGACAATTGCGGAGGATTCATATCTCATGTTTTCATATGATTACTTTCCTTTTAAACCTTTTTATGTTTAGCCATCATATTGTTCAGATTTTCTTCCTTTTATTTGACATATTTTTATTGTATTTTAAGAAGTCAACAATGGTTTTTTTGCCACGGCTGTGCAAACTCTCACTGCATTTCATTTGATCTTGCGCTTGGGAACTTCATGCTAAACTATTACTCAACAAAATTTTATAAGCTTGTTTTTTGTGGCTACACATACTTACCATTTTTTTAAATTATTTTGATGTTTGTCCTTACAGGGATAGTGATGGTGTGGAATTATTGATTTGATACTAATTTGACAGTAGGCTATTATTGTAGATCTTCTTGTTTCTTTTGAAATTGACATGATTTTTATTTTAAATAGAAGGGAATTAAAAATATGAGCTTGAGAGAAGAAAGAATAGGAGGCGCTAGGTATGACTTGGAACTTTAGCAATTTGGGACGAGAGATATTTCAAAACAGAAGAGATTTGGAGGAGTTAAATCCACCTAAAATGCACTAATTTCCTTTATATTTATGGCGTAATCATTATTAAAATGTCTTTGTAGTGATATTAACACTTCAATTTATTGCCAAAATGACTATTACAAAAAGCTACCCTTCTTTAAGATTCAGCTCAGATTTCAGTGGAATGGTTTGATCTAAAAATTATACTGGAAACCCTAAACCGAATTGCTATATTCTCAATTCTTCTTCTCCATTCATTTTTTTTTTCCTTCGATCTTATAATGCTTATTCCCATTTTCATTGCTTTTGTCAATCATAAAGCTTATACTAAAGTTTTCTTGCAATACTTGAATCATTGTTTAGTGATATCTTCCCCCTACTCTCCTCCTAATCCTCCTTTCTATTTGCATTAGATATATTATCTATCATGCAGGGTAGTTCGTATTCTGGTTATTGCAAAATTCAGGTTTATATATTTTTTTAAAAGCTTTAGTTGTGCATTGTTCTTTTTCCTGCCAACTCGAAGCCTTATTTTGAGTAGGCACTTGTATTCTGTATTTTAGTTAGATTTTAAGCTAGCATTATATAAAGACGTATTAATAAAAAGTAACTGGTGTTATCTCTATAAAAATGATCCTCTGCATTTGTTTCTTAAATAGACCTGAGCATTGTCCTGGTTTATGATTCCTTGTAGAGAACACTAAATCCCAATGAGTAGCTTGCCTGTATTTAAATCTTGAAACTTGTAGTTTTGTGCATTTCATTTGTACGGATTTTTTTTTTTTTTTTTTAAAGTTAGTGTTCAGGTTTCAACTTTTTAATCTCTGATGATTTTTAAACCCTGACGATCTTTCATGATTGCATTGAGTTATTTTAGTTCTCGTATAGCTGAGTAAATTACTGTGGTTGTACCTGCTCTAATAAATGCTTGATCCTCATCTAACCTAGTAACGTTTTTAGGGTTGTAGTTAGCCTTGTAATTTTATCAGGGTTTGGGTTTTTTTTTTTGGGTGAATCTATAATAAAATATAAAGGTCTATTTTGGTATATTGGATGCCCTGAATCGAATGATGATTGGCAGCATAAAAATGGTTATACTGTCACATTGTTGATATCTTGATGAGTTTTCATAGGCTCCCGTGAAATATAATCCTTAGGGAAATGAGGCATCAAATCAGGGTATCACAGGGAGTGGAATATTTTGGCTTTGCCTTGTTTTGAGGATAGTAGATGATTAAGTGAAAATTAATTTTAATTAATCATTAAAGTTTTAAAATATTTTTGTTCTTATAAGAAACATTGAAAACTAAAGAACTACCTCACTAAATTTGAATATTTTCCTTAATAAGAGCCAAACAATAGGGAGTATTATATGAATTCCCCTTTTTATGTTTATTGATTTTTACAGTGGTGCTTTTACAGATTATTAATCTAAAATATTTTAATTTCCCTCTTAGTCATGCCTTATTAGGTTCTTGTCCAGCGGCTTTTTGATTGTCCTTCTGATGTTCGTCTGTGAGTTATCTTTTGAGAGGTTAAATTTGGATTGTAGGGGGCTCATTTGTCAGTAGAATATTATACCAGTTTTGTGTTATTTAATGCAATTCACGTTGGAAGTATGGTGGCTTTCATGTATATTCTTGAAGCACCGAGTAGGAGATTTAGGGATAACTTTCAGATGTTTTCTTATGGAGTAGCTGTACGGAACTAAATATATTTTAGAGCACTTTTTGCCATCAGACACCTTAGAGTAGTCTTTATATATATATATATATACATACAACAACAACAACAAAGCCTTAATCCCACTACGTGGGGTCGGCTACATGAATCCTTTTTCTCCATTGTGTCCTATTTAGTGTCATATTTTCATTTAGTTTTAGTAAATTAAGATCATTTATAATACAATAAGGCCAAGTCTTCCTAGGTCTACCTCTGCCTTTCTTAACACTAGTCGAATTTAAAACATCTACTCTCCTAATCGGATCATCTAATGGTCGACGTTTAATATGACCAAACCATCTATATATATATATATATATATATATATATATATAATGCAAGTAAGCTCAGTTCCATGTTTTAACTGAAAGTACGCAATCAATGGCTTTGATGATAAGGCCCCTTATGATTCCATTTAATAGGTTGATAGATTTATTTTTGGGCACTGTCTGAGTAGGAGCAAGCATGTATAAGAAAAACCACGGAGTTGCACAAATATCAAAGTAGAGCTTTGCTGTTGCAGCTGATATTACTTAAGGTTTTGGCATCAACTTTCAAGTCTTAGAAGGTGTGCTACTTTTTTAATTTGACCGCTTTGCAGTCCCTAACCATGAATGCAAAAAATAAGAGTTTCTGTCTTCTATATATTTCATTATTTTTGAAATTTCCATACATTGAGTACCAATCATCTTCGGTGGTAGTCCTACCTCTTGTGCATGATGACATAGCTCAATAAAGTTTGAGGTATTCTGTGGTTTTATGCTTTGTTGTGGTAATTGGATTTTAACATTCCTTTTTTTTTTTTTTGGGAACAACATAGAAATTTTAATTGCGATTGGTATTTGATTTAGGATTTCTTTTGGTTTGATCCTGTTATAAGTTTAATAGTTTTTAGCTTTCCATAGCACTTCAATTGGTTTCTTATTCCAGAGTTCATCTGTATTTCTTTGAATTTATGATCAATGCTTCATTTATATTTTGACCTTGCTAAGTTTTCTTTTCTTTTCGTTTTTTTTTTCATCAGGAGAAACGCAAAGAGAAGAAGCATAAGAAAGAGAAGAAGGATAAGGAAAAAAGAGAGCACAAAGAGAAGAAAGAGAAAGATAGAAGCAAAGATAAACGTAAGGAGAAGAAAGATAGAAAAGAAAAGCACAAAGACAGGAAAAAAGATAAGGATGTTGAGAAAGGAAAGTCATCAGAAGATAAAAGAGCCGAAGATGGAAATGAGGGAACTCACAACCGAGAAAGCTTGCAGAAGGAAGAAGTTAAGGATTCCAAGCTTGCAGAAGAGTTGGACAGGAGAACTAGATTTAATGGAGCTGATAATCAAATGGTTGCCGTTACAAGCTCCATTCCTAAAAGAATTGAACCAATGGGTGTCATTCGTCCTTCTCTCGAGAAGGACATCAGAGTTGCTGAGAAAAAAGTATTCCCTGTGCCTACCGGTTCATCTCAAAGAAATGATGGAAGTAGCCTATCTATCGAGAACTCAACAATTTCTCCTCATAGAAGAATTGGGAATATCAGCACTGCAACTTCCACGGATCAGGGAAGAACCAAATCTCATGAAAGGTTCACTGTTGGCTTCAACGCTGATCAAATCCGAAATCATGGAATCTCTCGATCAATGGAAGGTATTTCGATGCTACCTCATAGGAAAGCTGAATACTCTACTTCTGGAATGGAGAAGGAAAAATTTTCCGAAAAATTTTTCGCTCCAATTTCTGTTGCACCTCCAATTGATAATAAAGGAAAACTCGGTGCAAAAGTTGTGGCTTCACATTCAGCGTCGATTAAAGGAAAAAATGATTTGTTGGGGCATCCAGTCGAAAGTCTCTCCTCCTCCATTCGCAGCAAAACTGAGTCCAACTCTGTTATTCAAAGCAGAGTGGATGGCTTGGGCTCTGTACCTGCTGTCGATAAGGAAAGAGCTAAAGGCAGTGGAATTTTCCCACACCCACTCAGTTCAGAGCAAAGAAGAAACACCACCATTTTTCCACCAGTTCAGAGGGACAAAAACCAAAGGTTTGACAAGGACAAAGAACATACTGCAACGAAGAAGAATAAACCGAAGGATGCTGATAAGCATTCTAAAGAGGAGGCGGAGAAAATAACGGAGAAGGTTGCAGTGATTGAAAATAATAAGATTAGAAACATTGGGAAGAAGGATCAAATCGAAGCTCTTAACAACAAGCTTTCTGCCCCTCATAAAGACAATACAGCTGATAGTAGAGATGTTGATGAAACTAGTAATAAAAGGAAGAATGTCAAGATCAATGGCTTTATGTTGGGTGAGTTCAAATTTTCTTATACTTTCTAACAAATTTATTCCTTCGGTGCTTTTGTTTGGTTTATTCTCCTGCTTCATTTGACCTGTGATTTCACAGAAAATGATGCGAGGCCTAACAAGATGCCGAGGATGATGGCCTCCTCACCCTCCCAACCTCTTGCCGGCCTTCCATTGAAACCGGATAGAATATTATTAGATTATAAGGATAAAGTGTTAAATGGCTCTGCAAAGCCTCAGCTGTTGCCGGACGGAAACGGCGATGTTTCTTTGAAACCCCCTCACCCTGATTCAAAGTACCTCGAGCAGATATACACGGTGCCGAAAATGGAGCTGTTGCCCGAGAACGGGGATATGGAATGGCTGTTTAGTTGCGGCGATTCTTCTCAGCAGAAGCCTAAGAGATCGTCGCTGCCGCCTGTGAGCGACGAAAGTATAAGCCCTCGGGTTTGGTCTAAGGCCTTGTGGATCGAATCGGCTGATGTCCTCGCTCTGCCCTATGTAGTCCCATTCTGAGGGGTACCGTGATCTCGAAGGTATGTGGCAAAGTGAAATACAGTAATATCTCTGTTTTTCAGTTGTTTGGGGTCTCTGGACATGTAGGCAAGCAGTGACGCTTTATTGTTCTTGTTCTGGGCTCTAAATGGGATTGGGATCTCAAAGTCGTTAGATTTGCTTCGAGATGAGTGTAGTAACATATGGGAGGAAGCAATCTAGATTTATATTACATTTATCTCAAAAGCAGAGGAGAGGAGAGGAGAGGAGGGGGGAAAAAAATTTTGTATCAGGATACTCTGACCAATAATAAGTGATTACAATGGGATCTCAAAGCCGATAGATTTACTTTGAGATTGGTGTAATATTAATTATTTATTTACTATACTCATCTCAAAATAGATCTATAATCTTTTAGTCTCATTCTGGCCAAAATTTTGATTAGGATATCCTGACCCCATTTTTTTTTTTTTTTTTTTTTTTTTTTTTGGTTTTTTGATTAAATCAAACGATTTTGAGATTCGTCCTGATGGTAAATTTGATCAGGTTAGGATCTACAGCACAAAAATTTTGAAGCACGGATAGAACAGAAGCCTTAGATTGAGGATTAATGTTAGAAAGCTTTTATGGGAGTGATGTTGAAGGTTTTGCTGTTATTTCTCATGGTGAGATTGATGAGAAACATGTAGGAAAAGCCAAGGATTGGTCTTTGCCGATTCATCACCACACAATTTTGATTTGTATTTCTGTATATCTTTTCTACTTAATAGAAAATGTACAATAGAGGGGGTGGGGAAAAAATGTTTGGGGGTTGGGGAGGCTTGTGGGAAATGAGAAAACAGTTATTATTATTATTATTCATTTATATCCTGCTTTGCATCATTTAAGCGACTTAGAGGTGTTTGATGAAATGTCTTTCATGCTGTATGATGTGCCCCCGAAAGCAGCTCCTGAAAGCTTATTTTTGTTTTGTCATGAATGAGCTCCTCATTATTCGAAAACTTTTACTTTAGATAACTCTTAAAGACACTCAGTTATTTGTCTATTTATTTTCATTAACTATATGAGATAAAAGATAAAGACCAGTAGCAGAGCAATTCAATAAAGGTTCAATGTAAAATGCAATAAGAAAATTTACAGACACCGATGATTCTTTACTTCCATCCACTTTCAAATTCAGCAACGTTTCACAAATGCAACATCGATATTATTTGCAAGAACAATCAACTCCACTACATCTCAACTATAATCTTCCCGGTGGCATGCCCAGCCATGCTCTTCCCCCAAGCCTCCTCCGCCTTCTCCAGCGGGTATCGCGAGTCGACCACCGTCCTCAGCTTCCCCTCCTTCACCAACCCAACAATGAACTCCAGATCCTTCCCCTCCGGCGAAAGCAGCAGCGGCACCAGCTGCTTCTTACAGAAGGTCAGTCTATGGAGCACCCAAGTTAGCATCACCTTCACCGTCGGCGTTATATCTATCACCTTCCCTCCCTCCGCCAGGTTCGGCTTGAACTCCGACCACGAAATCCCCGTCGCGCAGTGGATCACAGCATCGTACTTCTTCTCCGACGGGCTCTTTAGACTGGCGCCCTCCGGGGTCTTGTAGTCCAGCACCTCGTCGGCTCCGAGGCTCCTGACAAGCTCCATGTTGCGAGCTCCACAAGTGGCGGTGACATGGAGGTTGGCGAGCTTAGCCAGCTGAGTGGCGAAATGGCCGACGCCACCGGATGCGGCGGTGATCAAGATGTTTTTGGGTTGTTGATTTGGGGGGCGCTGAAGATCGAAGCAGCCGGCGGAGCGGAGAGCTTGGAGGGCGGTGAGGGAGGCGGCGGGAAGGCCGGCAGCTTCGGGTGGAGGAATGGTCGGAGGGATGGTGGTGGTTAGGTTTGCAGATGCGACGGCATACTCAGCTAGCCCTCCTCCAGTCTGTAGTTTTAGGTATCAGTACATTGATTGATTTGCCACACAATTCTTATATACCACTTTTTACATTTATACCAACTATATATTCTGTAGCACCAAACAAATACCACCAGTTTTAACTTTTAAAAGTGAAATACATGCACCTTTTCATGTATAGGTAAGGTGGTATATATATAGACAATTGAAGTTTAGGAGTTAGATATGTAAATACATGGGGATTGAATGGTATGTATGTAAATATTCTTATTTACATACCTAATACCTAAACTTTCATATTTACGATCATCAAAACTCCAAAGTTCAACATCACGTCAAAATTATCACTATCCCTAACTTTTTAAAAGTGAAATACACCTTATTTTTAATACCGATGTAGTATAAATATAAATATCAAATTTCTATGTGTTAGAGATGTAAATGCATAAGAATTGTGTGGCATGTATGTTAATTACCCTTTACTACAACACAGGACTTGTTATTGATAATTAAGATTTCTTAAATTACTCAAACATCTAAACTTTGATTTTACATTTATAACCACCCAAATCTTTCGTATCACATAAAAAATATCTCTATTTTAACCTTTAATAAGTGAAAAAATACATCTTTTTTCATACATAGGTAAGGTTGTATGTATGGAAAAATTAAATTTTAGAGGTTAGATATGTAAATACATAGGACTTGAGCGGTATAAATGTAAATTATCCAAAAATAAAGAAATGGGAAAGGAAAACTCTTACGCTTAGGAGGGAGACAACCTTGTCACCCTGCTTTAAGGATTTTACTTCAGGGCCGACGTCGACCACTTCGCCGGCCACATCTTCCACTGCCCTTCCAAGTAGACATTACCATTAGCATCAAGTAATATTTCTAGCAGGAATTCTTTCACATCAATATCTTGCAGATAGAAATAAAGAAAGGCAGTTGCTACTATCATACATGCAACAAAAGGGAAATTTACATACATACCAGACAAATCTTATGACAAATCTTATGTATCTTATGTATTTGCATTTCTCACACCTAAACTTTCATATTTACATACATAGCACTTTAGTGCTTTAAACATATGCATGAAAAATGTTTGTTGCACTTTTAAAAGGTGGTAATAATGCTATTTTTTATGTCATATTAAGGATTTGAGTGCTACGTGTGTAAATGTCAAAGTATAGGTATGAGATATGAAAATACATGGAAGGTCTTTCATATTCTACATAAAGAAAAGAGAGAGAGTAGCAGCTTTTGAAAACAAACATCTCTTATTATAGTTTGCATCAATAAATTAATGTCTTTGAAGCATTTTAGCCATCAAAGAATTCCCCTATTAGATCATCAAAAGATTCTTACAATCAAATAAAACTGAAGCTTTTGAAACATAAAATTGTGCCAGCAATAATGGAGCTTTACACTTTTGGTCTAAAATTAAAGAATTACCTGGCGTGAATGGAAATTTAGGTGGTAAAAATGGTCGCATAGCTCCCTTCTGAACTTTCCAATCAAATGGGTTGATAGCTGCAGCATCAATCTTTAACAACACCTCATTCTTCTTTGGCAATGGAATTGGAGGAACTTCCACATGCTGAAGTTGAAAAAAAAAAAATGGAATGTTCAATCAAGGTGTGAAATGTAAGGACTACATGAAAATGCAATTTCTAAATTTATCAAAAAACATCAAATTGACAACAATAACGTACCTATTGCATGAAAAGTCAATACATAACCAAAAGCGTAGTTAGGGAAATTAAACTATTATGCTATACCAATAGTTGTTACCATATCTAAATTAGTTTCTATACCAATAATTTATAGTAGGATATACATTATTTATTTCTTTTATGTTTCTTTATAGTCATCTTCTCTTACATATGTATAAGTTGATATATGCTTATACTTAGAAGACAATATAGTAAATGTGTGGTCCATTATAATTTTTTCTCCCAACTAAGCTGATATTAGAGCTATGGCTATAGATCTTCCACCTGATGCATCACAAATGTGCTTATTCATCTTCCTCTCATCCAACCATCAAAGCATCCAATCTTCTTTTCTGTTTCTTGCAAAGCTAAAAGCCTCAATGAACTCATTTGGTGAATAGTGGCAGTAACACCAATGACTTTTGCCTTCACAGAGTTGACCTCTTTTTAAGTGTTCTCCATTAAAATTTGTCAATGTTCAATGTTGATAATACCGTCAAAGTTCTTTATTGATACATCTCCTTGAGAATTTTATTTGTATGCCTTTCTTTGCATGGATCTCACTATCAACTTCTTACATCGAACTGATGCTACACTTTCTTCATGAATTGGTCATTCTCTCCCAACATCCCTCGCAACCTTTGGCAATCACTGTAGAGAAAGCATCTGAATTAGTGTCCGAAAATTTTTTACCATCTAATTTATGTCTGAATTCCGCAGAATACCAATACGGTTGGAAGTTGCGTCGGAAAAAAATGGCAGAAATGTGCAACACGCCTCTTTCACTTACTAGTGTTAGATTATCAATAGGTATTACAACCACAAATTCTTTTTGGTTGGAAATTTGTGACGCTAATCAGACGCAAGGCTCTTTAAACCTAATCACTAGCCTACTGGCCTCTCATTCACACTCTCTCATTTCTCTTCATTGTTTCATTGGCTCATGCGAAACTAGGGTGCCCATGACACTTCCTCTCCGACGACCCCGCGATGTTCTTTAGCACCGACGACCCCGCGGTGACTTCAGCGATTGCTTACCATCTGAGGTACGGATCCTTTCACCGTTCTCCTCCACATTTTATCTTTTAAGGATTTTATTTGCGTAAAGCTATATTGATAACATAGTCAAAGTTCTTTGTTGAAAGATCTCTTTAAGGATTTTATTTGCATGCCCATTTGGCATGGATCTCACTGTCAACTGCTTACATCGAACTTATGCTACTCTCTCTTTATGAATTGGTCATGCTCTCCCTATGTCCCTCTCACTGACAATAAAATATTTAACTACATCTCTGGTTACTATTATTTTCAAACTCAAGTTGGCATATTCCACACAAACTTGAATTCACAAGACAATGTTACCATATTTGAATTATCACATGTGCTAAATGCTTATAATAGGAGCCTACACTATTTACTATTGTTATATTTCTTCGTTATTGGTGCTGTTCCATTCTATTATATTTTTCTTCAATTTTTTATTCTCATAACTATACACATGCACATGTACTTTTTATAATTCCATCTCTTCTAACAGTTGTAGATATAAGAGACTAAATCTCTGCAAAAAATAGTAAGGGATGTATCCATATACTTATGACACTATTTACTCCCCTCAATTTCCTAAATTTTTTTTCATATGTTGGTAAGGGATCTAGTAATTTGTTGTATGTTGGGCTGAATTGCCTTGTGTTGTAAAAATATAAGAAAATGTCTCTTAAAGAAAATTATTTAATATACCCCACAAATCAATTACATTCCACCAAAAGCCTGTTGACCTCATTTTTGTGAGGTCTTAGTCTC